AATATTATTTTTTTTTTACTCCAATAAACTATTATTTTTTTGAAAGTGAAATTTTTTCTGATTTTTTTGGCTTTTTCAGAGGTATCCTCGCGTAATAAGTTCCATACGAAGTCGCCCAGAGTATAGAGCTGGGAGAAAAAAATTTTAAAGCATTGTTATAAAAGCCTAACGGTATATTTGCTTAATATATTTTAATTAATAGATATTGAACTTGCATAAAACGCTTATAACGGTGAAAAAATATTTTCCCAATATGGTATTATAAGGCTGGAAATATGCAAAAACACGCGTTTTGGGACCTTGAGTGTGCGTAGAAGCTGATTGGCTATTGATATTAACAAATCCAAAACTTGTATTCTTATTTTGACTAGTAGAAGTGAAAAATAAGAAAAATCAACTCAAACATTTTTGTCGCACAGTGTTATTCAGCTCTACAAATTGATTTAGCAAAATGTGCGGGCTGGTTGGCTCAGCTTGTTGGAATCGGTGGGTATTCGCACTTTATCGCGGCTAACAACTCATAGTCGGTCTGCTTGTTTGCGGTTCTTGTTAGTTGTTGGCGACACTCAACTCCCGCTTCTCTCTCAGCCTCGCCAAAAAGTTTGCCTGTTGAAAGTTCTTTGGAACAAATTGTTGTCCCCTTCGTTATCGCCATGCAGTAATAAAAATTGGAAATAGGTAATGGATGTGCTTCGGAATTAAAAACCCATTTACACAATAGTTTTTCAAGTCTTTAATTCTTTAGAAGTACTCTTTGTGTTTAATATACTTCAAATATATTGAATATGAACACCATATGTACTTTGCTCTGCTTCTCCAAGTGCAGCTTTAGTTTTTGTTTTAGTTTTAGTGTTAGTTTGCTGAAGTGTCTGTGGCCGCAAAAAGGTTACCGAGCGAAACGTTGCTAATGACTGGATAAATATTTGGATGGCTCCTTCAAAACGTGACAAACGCGATTTGGCCAACATAACGAAAAGTTTTGAAAACTTTTGAGCTATAATTAAATGAAAATGGGATTAGATGATTGTGATTTGATTAGTGCGGGAAAATGGAGTGAAAAGTGCTAAAGTTGGCGGAGAAGTGGTTGCTTTAACAAGTTAAAGCTTCAGTTAGATTGCAGTTGAACACTTAACTGAGGATAATTTGTATTAGGCTTCATTTAATTTTTCCAGGAACTTTCAAATTACCTTAAATATGTACGGATATAAGGATTTCTTTTTTTCTATTCACCAAATCTTCAGCCACGCAAATTCCTGGCCATCCAATTAGAGCGACCCGCTCCTCTTTATATACGTTAATTCCACTTTACACATTTTGCTCCAACAAAATTCTTTGAAATTTTGCTCACCTTACAATTTCTTGGGCGGACAATGGAGAATATGCCCCAAAGTATTTTGTGTCGGGCGAAAAATTTGCGCATTTAAAATTAAGCTAACAAGCTGAAATCGTTTCGCGCACCAAAAAATGTAGCCTCCGCCGGTCGGAAGGACACTCCGGCTAATGCCAATTATTGTAACAATATCGGAGGGAAGCAGGCCTCAAGGAAATGCGCAAATTGCTGGAAAAATTGTGAGCGGCTATTAGGGGGTGTACGAATACGAGTATCTATTAACGAGCAAATGGATGTGTTCTTGTTTCGCCAGAATTGAGCAACTTTCCCCGGGCAGGCTGCACAATTTGTTCTCCTTTCTGGGGAATCCTGGCAGAAAGGAATCACTTGACTTGTCGCAGTTGTCCTTGTCGCTTCCAGAGACGACTCTGCTTTATGAGAGGGGGTTATGGGTGTCACGGGTGGGTAGGTGGTGTCAAAAAACTTGAACGCCTGTTGACGCACACACGCGAAACACTCGAGCGGCAAAGGGATTGGATTGGATGGCGGAGGGGAAGGTGAAAATACTTTGGTTTGTGGCTGCCGCTTGTAGCCGCCAAAAACATTTTGCTAACGATTTATGTCCGATGCATGCTGACTTTCTCCCCACATCGCAGATCCAGCTGCCCCAACAGCCCCAGCATCCCTAAATCCTTCGCCCGCAGACAAATTTCTGCTACTTTTTCAGTCGCATTGGGTTGCTTCTGGTGCATCGGTTCTTAATGGCGCACTGCCATCATATTGGGTTTCAGGACAGCCGCAAAACGAGCGGCTTACGGACGGATAGTCGATGGCGGCGATAGCTCTAAGCAATTAGTTTAGTTTTACGTTGCCGATTCGCCATCGGGGTTAAATGGGGCTCTTCGGTGGCAGCTCCTCCCTCGAACTCGCCGCCCTTCACTCCTTCTGGATGGTGTTGCACTTTAAGTGGAGACGATGATGTCGAGGATTAGATGTTGAGTTAAGCAGCCAGGGGTTAAGGGACTGCATTGGAATTTACTGGGGGGATTCCTGCGAAGCGAAGGGAATTTGTAAGCCGAGCAACCAAGGGTATAATTGCACTTGACTTTACTCATTAAACAAATAAAGGGATATTTTCCACCAGCAACTTCTACTTCACTTCACTACTACCCACTTCTACTAATTAAGGAGTCTGGTCTTAACATTTTTATTCTTGTGTTATCCTTGTCTTTCGTGATTTGAAAATGTTACGCGAATAAAAAAGCAATCGTTTGACTTTCCGTTGGAAGTTAATTGGTATATAACTTGATTAAATCAGAGGAAGGGCAAACGTAAATTGAGATCTTTGATTTGAAAAAATGTCAGAGTGTTTCATCAATTAACCCGAAACTTTTCACAGCACCCATTCCCCCAATTCCCGAAGAGCAAGGACCATTTGCACTTGCCATCCTCTTGCCGTCCTCTGTTCATCGAATCCCTTTGGTGGGACAACTTCGAAAAGTTTTAATTAAACCAACTTTAAAGCTTTTAGTGTTACTGCTGGTCAGCGCTGTCGACATGTGCCTGGATCCACTGGATAGGATAGCAAGGGGCATATACGTGCTCCCTTAAAGCCTCTCAGGACCCCCGAACCTCCATCATAATCCCCATGACCTGCACTTCGGCTATATTAAATCGGAGCTGTTTTACAACAATTTTGCCATTAACACATTTGGCCAAAAGTGACATCCGAGTGGGTTTTGAGCTTTAAGCTTTTCCGGGGGAAAAAATAAACGAATATTGCAAACAACCCGCAGGTTGTCGAGAGGAGCAACTTTTCGTTGAAGCGGCAGTGGCAGCAGCAGCAGCAGTAGCAGATTGGGTTAAAGCCTAAAATCCTAGAAGTCTGACAGCTGTGGAAAGGGAGGCTGCGAGCGAGATGCAAACAAGCCGTGGACAGAGGTCCGGAGACAATGGACCGAGGACAGAGGACACGGGACACGGGACACGGGACACTGGACACTGGACACTGGACTGTCAAAGTTGCCCACCGAAGCGACAAAAAATGATGTATCAAACTGGACAGGAAAAAGGCAGTGGGGCTGGGCGGCTTATGAGAAGGGGGCGTGGCACTCTGGCCAGTTCGAACTTTTTTGTATTTAAAGTTACACCTACAAAAGTGCCGGCTGTGTGCTTCTGTTCTCATCCTCACCATCCTTGGACTGTCAGTTTGCGTCCTCAGTCGCTTCAGTGGGTTCAGCAGGGCAGGTTCGCCTTATTTTTTGGCTTTTTCCCTTGTTACTTGCGTTGGCCCATATCCAGAAACTCCTCCTGTTTTTGTCGCTTTCTGCGGCTTTTTATTTGAGTTCGGTATTAGTTTTTGATTGTCTACCGATGAGTTTGGGCTTGCTGTTTTTTTGTCTTCGTATTAGGGGACATAATGATAAAAAATGTATTTTCACTGAAATTCAAGTCGGTGGAAGTTTAACATTTGGTTAAAAGGTCTGTCGACTTTGTCAATTCTCGCATGCGATAAGGTTCGACTGTTAGCAGTTAGCAGTGCCAGCAAGGGGTTGTGTCCTGGCTAAATATGTTAGGGAAAATCTATGTTACAGGATTCTGTTGCTGCTTAACAGAAAAGAGATCTAGTTAGTTTTAAATATTTTAAATTATAGTTGTAACATTATTCTAATTTTAAAGCATTTTTAATATATTTTTGTAATTTACATAATTTATTTGATATCATCAACACTTTAACACTTTAACAAATTTTTTTGATTAAACTCACAATTTTGCGCATCATTTAGGGAAATATATGGCTTCCTCGGTTAACCTCTCGACATCCCTTTAATTTATCATCCCAAGTATCTAAACTTTGGCCGTTTATCTCGCCCATTATCTCCATCACTGACCGAGTCCACCCCCCAAGGGCTCTCTCTTTAATGCCGGGCCCAAAGTGTAAACAGCAAAAACTAATTGTCTAAGGGCACGCAAAATGCTTCTTGGTCTTTCCTTCTCCTATAGATTTTCCTCGTACGCCCTTTTGTGGGGGATATTTATGGCAACCAAAGGGAGCCGAACGACTTTAACTGGGTAAACACGGCGTTAAGAAAGTTTCATAAATTACAACACATAAGCCAGCTCAAACTGGCCGAAATGTGAAGATGGCAGGGGAGTTGGACACTCAATGCAGTCTCAGCTGTTCGGTTTTACGGTTTTCATTTGCATTTCGGAGTTTTGGTCAAGGGACGCGCCCTTTTTGTACCCTGCTGGGTTTGCTTTTTATTCTCCGCCAGCCTTTCTGTTGTAAACAAATACTGCTTTCCACCCTGCGGAGAGATGGCGGAAAAGTCAACAGAGTTTATGGCAGCCTTTCAGGCGGCACTGTTAACTTGCCAGTCTCGCTCCCCGAAATTCTCACTATTGATTTGTTATGCACGCTCTGCGCAATCGCCGCTCGAAAAACGGTCTGCAAACTGGGACCGGGAAATGTTTTTTCTTCTGTTTTTTTTGGGGATATAGGGTGGCGGATGGCGGCTGAGTTGGCCCAAAAGTCACCCTGTCACCGCTCATCGCACCAAATTAGCACACACACAACAGAGAGCAGGCCCTTGCAGCTTTTATGGCAACTCACACACACAGCGAAAAAAAACGCTCTCTCACGCTCTCACGTACGCTTTCCTCTTTGCAGGGGTGGTATGTGGATAAATTTTAGCCGCCATGGATCCCAGTGCTCTACAAAACATGGATCGGGACGCATTAAAGAAGCAAATCGAGAATATGAAATATCAGGCCTCCATGGAGCGCTGGCCGTTATCTAAATCCATAGCAGAGTGAGTAAAAATAATGCTAATGCTAATGATATTTACACCAGAAATTAATTATCAAGTGCAAAACAATATACAAATGGGCATTTACAATAAATAAATAGTTAAGTGGAGACATCTTAGGAACTGTGCTATTTTCGGTGAATTTGTGATTGTGTTTGTGTGTGCTCGATGTGACCTACGACCCCATTTAACCATTTGCATCTTGTCTAGACTCTGGTGCCGAGTTTTTACAGATTTGTTAAGTGACTGCCGACGACTGCCCGCAAAATATTCGCACACGTGTGCTAAAAGCCAGCACCTGAGAGTTGGCCAAGCATTTTTGCCGCTCGCTTGCTAAATATTTACACAAATATAAAGCTGTCGTGTTCTTGTTTGTTGGCTCGCTTCTTTCGAATGACAACAACTGCGTCGTCTCAGGACTCCCTTCCTCAGTCAGTCAGTGTGTGGTATATGTGTGTGTGTGCGGTCTTTCCTTTCATATGTGTGTGCGAGTGTGTGTGTATGCCCTTGTGTAGACAGTGGCTAGACATGAGCGGAGCCAGTCCCCACCAACCCCCTTAAGCCACCCAGAAAAGGGAAAAAACGTCAAGTGAAATTCTCACTTCGCTACAAGAAATTGCTCAGGAAACGGATTGTTAACCGGTTTTGCAAAGGTGGCAAAAGTGCGAAGGAGACGAATGGCCACCGTCGGTAAATTGGTTTTGCTGAATGACAAATTCCTATCCTGGCAATTAATTCTCAAGGTTGTCCTGCCATTGCTTTTATTTTCATTAGCAATTCAATGAAGTGAACACTGGCCATAATGGAATCCCTAAGAATGACTTAGGGATTCCTATAGAATCCAACGTGCTTTTGTTTGATTTCCCAGCAAAGAGTTCCTGCTAGCTTAGTTCTTTTGAACGTCCTTTGTTTTTTTTTTCATTGTTCAAATCAGCAGAATGCATTTTCAGTATCATCTTATATTTAGAAGATTAGCTTGGACTACGATATTGTTTTGCAGTGTATACAACTATTTATCACAAGAAGGTCAGGAAATATTAGAATGCGTATGATTAAGGTAGTTATGGAAGCTAGTTTATTAAAGACCAAACTTTATAACTCTAAAAACCATTTCTAGTCTTATATTCATTTTTTTGCTGATAAACGTTTGTAAATTAATATTAATTTAATATATGAAAAATTTTTTACGAAAGTTTTCCCCTGAAGAACTTTTTATTCAATACTAACTTTTAACTATAAACTTTAATTATCGAGCAACTTTTTCATTTCATGCGGGCAAAAATAATATGCTTTTGTTTTCCATACACACAAATTGATGACAGAAAAGCTTTGAATAGGAATTGTTCTATATTTTGTTGAATATTCTAGTTTCCTATTAATACCCCGCAGGAATCTGTGTGGTCGACAATTTTTCATGCGGATATTTCCCGCTTTCAAAGCAGGGGTGTTATTTATTTTGTTAAAAACTTTTCCAAACGGGACAAATCCTGCACCGTAAATCACAATTAAGGCTGCTGCTGTCTAATGGCCAGCTTTTAATTTAGCTCTGAGCCCGAAGGCCAACACGCACTTTGCGGAACCTCCTCACTTGGCCCCACGGATTGCGTTTCTAATGTCATCTTTTAAATAAACACCCGACCGACGACGGCGCAGACGTCCTCTGATTTAGTTAAACATTTAGTCAGCAGCTAATTATGAATAATTAATTGGCACACAGTGAATCTGCGCTGCTCTCCGTCTCCGTCTCTTTTCCTCATCCAGCTTGTTGGCTCATCTGTGACTTAATGTGGCCCAAACAGGCTTCAAATGTGTGCGCCGTTGGCCGACGCCAGCGGCTTTCATAAATAATTTAACACCCGACTTTAGAGTCGGTAACCGTCACCGCCTGCGCTCCAAAATTTTCCCCTCAGGCGTTGTTCGGACTCCTCCCATGTGCCTCGCCCACTCATTGTGAAACCCCAACGAATTAGCCAATGTGCAGTTGAAATTCTGTTTACTAATTTGCAACACGTCGAGGTGGGGCTCTCTTCAATTAGGCGAATCCGTACACGCTTCGCATTTCTCTCTGTTTACTTCTCTGCATAATGCCAGCTTTTTGGCCGACTTCGGTTAGCTACTGAGTCACGTTGGCTCTTAAATCAGAGGTGTTAATTACAAAAACGTATATGGTATATGGCAATGAATCCAGAAGCCGCCAGGTACGGATGCGAGCAGTAATTAAGCATAATGCTGTTTAATGTGCTCACATATGTGGTAAATACTGCCAAAGTGGTCGCTTTGTAATTTACTATCAATAATTACCTTGTAAATTCTTAATGACAATCGACTAAGGGTTTTGTTTTTGTTGTTGAATCGAGGACAAACATCTAAATTATTTATATGTGCTAACAATTCGATTGGAATATTGGATAAATATGTAAATTGCTGCTGGGGAAGACATCAAAATTAAGTTGAGCAATGTGAAGTCAATTTTAAATGTGTGTCTTTGTGGGAAATCACTTTAAAGAATGTTTGTCCAACATATTTAACTAGCAGCACCATCAAGTAAATTCCAAATCATGTTTGCCTAGTTTGAAACCAAAATAATTTGATTTGCGAACCGCTATGTGATGGAATAATCTCAAAGGCAACTGGCCAATTATAAAATATTTCCAAATATAAAATGTCTAACCGCAAAATGTAATATTTTTTAATGGAAATTTGTTCAAAGTTCAGATATAAAGTGGCACCCTTTCGTCACAAGTGTGGAGAAAAAACAAATAATAAAATTCCGACGTCAGTTTCACAAAACTCGAAATAGTTTCAGCTGGCTTTGAATTTTTCCTTTTTTAATCGGCATTCATTTTAGAAAATATCAAACATTTGTCACTTAATCAGCACACAAAACGGCACAAATTAGACGGTCATCGCTCAGTGACATATGTCAAACTTTGGGAAATCAAAGTCAATTAAATTTTGAGAGCGGTATCGAGCGTTCCTGATTGATGGGCGCCATTGCACAATTCTGACCACAAAGTAGGCGGGAAAGGGGCGAAAAGGGGGTGGGTGGGGAAGGCAGAGGATAGTGGGTGGATGGTTGGATGGGTTGATTGGTTCGGTCGGACGAAGAATGTACTCGTTAAGTGCAGCAAACACCGCACATTACGCCGATTTGTTGCAGACGACGTTACGACGAAATGGAACCCGAAACCAGGACACACTCCCACACACACACAAACACACACACACACATAGTTCATCCTGCTGCAAGCCATGATTGATGGACGGGCATGGGTTTGTGTTGGAACCACAGAAACCACCGTGCGTGACAAGCTCCTGCCCGCAATTTCCCTGCTCCTGCGTTCCCAACAATTTCTGTCCCTTTCGTCCTTCGTCCTTTCGGCCGTTCGGGTGTCGTAGACAAAATGTTGCATACCTCCAGGCGCATACATTTCACCTTAATGTTTGGTCAGGAGTTTCGGTATCCTGGGGCGGGCCTGGGGTTTCTTTCAACGAAACTTTGCCACCACCAAATCGGTGTTGCCACGGCGCTCAGGTGTCCAAATGGAGAAAGTTTTACTTTACATCGCATAAAATGAATTTCCCGTCGCTCCGCTCGCAAAAACTTCTTTCGCAGCTGCATATAAATCTTAGCGCTTCTCAATTTATTTGTAGCCGCTCTTGTTTTTTTTTTTTGTTTGCTCTCAGAATGTGTGGTGTATAAATAATGCAAAATGAGACTCTGGGCAACAAAATATGGGAAACGCTTTGAAGCGCATTTCATGCGGAAAATTATGTTGCTTTTGTGTTGCTGTTTTGGGTTAAGGGCTTCTTGTTCCCGCATATATCTTTATGGTGTTTCATATTTTACTGCCGCCCACTTCCAGTTTACGGCTACCCGGCCACGCCCCCTTTTTTCGCCTGCGGTTTAATATGCGCTGTAAATTTTCCCTCGGGCAGCGGATGCATTCAGCCTTCTCTAATCTTTGTTGCATTCGGTTTATGATACCGCATTTCGTTCTTTACAAACATAAAACACGATCGTTCCATACCCACAAAAATGTATTCTCAATTAAATAAGCGGATTTATGTCCATTTATTTACTTGACATACATATATGGCGCAATCAATTTGGGTTTCGGCCATAAATCAACAAAAAATGCATATTTTCTTTGTGCTTTTTTGGGGTTTTCGATTTTTCCTGTTCGATACGAAACATCATAAATTTTTTGCTGTCGGTAATTTAGATTGCTGATGTCCTAAGATAAGAAAAGAAATAATTTTTTCCTACTTATCTTTTCATACTAGATAAATACAGGCTTTCTAACTATTCAAAATATTAAAAATACTGTGTTAAACTTTAAAGTTGAAAATTCTTTAGGGAAATAGTTCCCCCTGAGTTGCACTTTCTTTAACTTGACTGTGATGCCTGAAATAAAGCTATCTCATCGCTTGTAAAGCGATAAAAACTTTGCCAAATCATTGGCTTTTCCAGCCGGGAGTGATCTGCTTTCTTCCAGTTCTCGTTAATTCCCGTCCATTGATGGCAGGCAACTTTTTGGCTTTTTTGGCTGGCTGCTCCGCAAACGGACTTCCTTGCCAATTGTCGGACAAGAAGAGAGAAAGCTGCGACAAAAGCAACACAAACTTTGATTAACTTACCAAAATGAAATTCAGCTGGACGAAGGGGAGCCGGAATAAATGGAAAATCCTCTCTGGCATTTTTCCCCGATGCCCCATTGCGCCGCATTAAGCACACATGCACGCATTAGATGCGATTTCCAAAGTGGCAGCCGGGAAATCGGTCGAATGTTCATCGAGCGGAAAGCGGAAAGCGGCGAAGGAATACTGCGAGCTTTTCAATTGGCCGGGAAAATGCCCGAAATGCTTTCGCCACGTGAAAACTTTAAAATGGCTGCGCATGCAAATTAATTGCCAGTACATGCCGACAACACAATGAAATCAGCAGGAAGTGGAAGTGGCAACTGCTGCTTTCGGTTTTGGTTTTGGTTTTTGGCCACCTC